AACTGTATATAACTGTATATAACTGTGTATAACTGTGTATAACTGTGTATAACTGTGCTGTGTATCCTGGTAGAGCGGCACTGGGACCTAAAACAGTCTTTGGATTTTTAACATCACATTACGTTCTCTAAACAGAGTTTGAACCCCTTCACAGATCCCATCCACAACAACGAGACGATGTGACATTCACCCTAATATGTGTCAACATTTAATGCAACAGTACAAACGACTGCTAATAACCTATTACAATGTTTCCTGTGTTGTAGGTTAAGGCTCAGCCCCATTCCGCACATACCATCACACCACCAACAATGAAGCCACACATCATTAAAGGGTGGGTTCATTATTTTGAAAAGCCTTTCTTTGTCACTTCTTTCATTTGCAATTAAGCCCTAACAGGCCATGACTGCACTTCTGCTGTAAGTGTGACTCAGTACAACAAGTGAAAGACGTGGCAGTGCACAGTCCTGGAGGTGACAGCGACCCGATCCATCGCTGGGCACTCGCCCCAGCCACCCGCTGCCTCTTCCTCCAGGCAGCAGCTGAGCACCGAGAGGGAGAAGCCCTGACACACACTGACAAGAGAAGATTTACATGAGCAGCACATGTCCGGCTCAAACAGGCTGCTATAATAAGAAAGCAACAAAAGGACAGTGCCAAGTCTAGTTTAACCAGATGCTTTAAAACAGAGGTTTGTGATAGCCCCTGCAACCGTACTTAGTAAGACAAAATGTAATCATTAATTCAACTAAAAACTAAAGATAGGAAAAATTGCACATGACGATTCCCAAGTGCCCAAAGTGAAGGTTTTAAATAACTTCTTAGTTCAACCAACAGTCGAAAACAACCAAAGATATTCTATATGAAAGCATGGAAGCAGAGAATATTTCACATTTTGTTTGATAAATGACTCAATAGTTAATCAATGATCAAAAGTAGCTGGTATTTAATTCCCTATTGAGTAACTGATTAAGTGAGTACTTACTTACTGTAAAGTGCAGTTGTGGGTGTAACCGTGTGGACCTGGATACCCTGCTGTATCCAGTGACTGTCCCTTACATACAGTTAAAGTTAGAAACAGAACCGTTCAGCTGGTGGCCGCTGGGATCGGTTCCGGGCCTCCTGAACACTCAAACACGGCTTCAGCTGCATTTCACACCATGTTCCCAATGTCTGCCCTCTCGTTTATTGCAATATGTCCCCAAACTAGATAGCACCAAAAGGGACACACACAGACGTGCCAAAAGTTGTGAAAAGTAAAGAAGTGAAACCAGTGAGCCAGCAGCTGACAGAGGAGTTGTACCGGTGACACTGGTTGTGCAGCTCAACTGCCAAAACCCAGTTTAACCCAGCTGTTACTGGACGCTTTCTCTTCCGGCAAAACCAGTAAAAATCAACATCTAACGTTACATGCCCCGGACGGTTGTGTTGGCTAACGTTAGACAGCAGCTTGAAGTCTCTGCTCACTCACCGTTCACTCTTTTGTCCGGAGTGCTGCTCTGCAGAGTGGGCGGCTTCCGAGCCTCGTACCGCCAGCAGGCTAGCTAGCTAAGTGCTAACAGCCAGCTAACGCTAAGCGGGCGAGCTACTTGTGTTGTCAGCTAACTTGAAGCGTTAGCTCGCTGGTTAGCTGACAGCAGCAACAACGGTAAACACAAAGGATCCCGAGAGTCCGACGACCTGCTGCTCGCTGTGTCGCTGGGGGGAAACTGCAACTACCAGAAGGGTGGACGAATTGCCAGCAGTGACAGCTTGTACTACAACGCTGACAGGTCAACTACACAGGAACTACAAAACTTCGACAACCTTTAAGGAACTGACATAACGAGTTGGACATTTCCGGTTAACAATAGCGCTGCCACCTAGTGGACGCACTGTAAGTGGCAGGACGACACTGAAAGAAGTTGTCCATTTCATAATACATAACGTTACCTTCCACGGATGTGACATGGTGAAATGCCGCCTGCTTATGAGTAATTTACTTCTCATATGTTGGCTATGCATATACAGATAATAATATATACCATATATATGCATTGCATGAGCCTTTTTATCACACTTTCTATCACAGTATAAAAATGCTTCAGTGCAAGTAAAAAGTCTGGGATTAAAAATTGTACTCAAGAAAAAAAAGTAGGCCTCCATAGGCGATGGTTGTATGTTTCCTATATAAAATCTAAGTCTGCAAAGGCAACAGTAAATATAACTGTAAAATGTAGTGGAGTAAAAAGCAGACAAGGCACATTTATTTATAGAACATTTATTTATATAGCACATTTCATACCCAAGGTGCTTTACAGAGTTCAATGTTTCCCTCTAACATTTAGTGGATGTATAAAGTAGCTTAAAAAATGCCAAAGAATTGGACTTTATTTCAGTACTTAAGTAAATATACTTACTTACATTTCACCACTGCCTTTCATGGTAGACATTTTGACATGTCATTGTAAGAAATGCGCACAGGTGTTACTAATAACATTAACGATGGCTCTGTTCTATTTTAAATGTCCCAGTAAGTCATGGCCGTGTCACAGTGAGTCAGCATGCACAAAACCAGGACCCTGGGCCTGAAACAGCTAAATGGAATTCAGCCATTATTCATTTTATTGTTTACACCTTTGCTACTGTGAGGTGAAATATTCTGTAGTATAGTTTTGACCTTTAATTTATGTATTTTTATGCTTATTCTAGCCTGTTGTAGTCATCTGTAACAGTTAGACACTAGACCAGTTGGGTAAGGGTTAGGCCTGATAATAAGAAAAATGTGAATGTATATATGTATAGATTTAAATGTGAATAAATATTTGTGTAAATCCCCCCACTGTCAAAACAACTTGCTGACCCCATATAGGACCAACAGAGGGCCAGCTGTGTTTACAGAGAGAAGGTTATCATGGCCGGTACATGACCCTGTTCTTGTAACCAGATCTTGACCACCATTCAACCGTCATTCTTATGTCGACTGAATGAAAGTGGACTATGTTGGTCGTCACAAGGCCAAACCAAAATTTGCTTTGTGGGTTCTTTTCGGCCTATTTGACTCAAGAACTGCACATTTCCTTCTGCAGCAAGTGAGAGAAAAGTTACAACAAGTAACAAGTTTAAATAATTTACCCCTGGGATTATTAAAGTATTTCTGATTCTGATTCTGATTCTGAAGATATCTGTATTGTTTCATGACTTTACAACAGGAAAACTGAGCACCATGCATGGTGATCAGAGTCAGAACTAAGTTGCCGTGTTGCTGCTGCACCACAGCATGAAGGGAATGAAGGGTGTAGAGCTGAAAACATTACTCTTGAGCTGATCATCTTGTGGCCTGCAGAGAGCTCCAGGACAAGGTGTAATTTCACTTGAAGATCAGAGGGGCACAGGTTACGATAATTGATACCCTGGAGGTAGTGGTAAAGTTGTGCAACAAAAAGCTGCTGTACATTGCAGTAATGCAACTATTCATGGTGTCCTTCGGTATCGGTTTGACCTGAAATAACGAACAATAAGGTGATTCTCTAATATTAAGAAGAGTTTAATGGGTAATCATCTCTCTAAAAAGCCCAGTTGTAAAATACTTGCTATATATTTTATATTTTCCAGTTTTCCATCATTAAACAACAGAGATTTAATTTTCGCAGTCAACATTTTTCACCCTTTGTAACAGTTACTGTTTTGTAACTTTGCAGCATTATCCATTGGTATCAAGGATTTAACTGATGGCTCCGTTTATCGTTGTATAAATGATGAAATATTGCCAATGTATGGAAACAATATTCAAGTGTTATTCTGACAAACCTGCAAAAATAATGAAAAATAATCTCAGATTCCTGAGTGAATTACATGTTTTTACTTTACACCTTCTGTAAAACAAGTTGATTTATTTTGTGCAGCGGCTGGTTGCCTCAGTGTACAGGTAAAATAAATGTATATCATTTAAGAGTAACAGGTACCCTTACCCTTCCATTTTTGTCATGTGCACAGAGCAATTACAGTATGATGTTCACCCATTAGCCACCTGGTAGAACCCCTATAGACTCCCTGTCTCCTTCTGGCACTCTTTGATCGCAGCCTTACCTGCTGGTTTGAAGGATAGAATTTGCTTACTGTTGAAATGACAAACACTGAGCAAGCGGGCAAGCATAGAAGGAAATAAAGACAGTCGCTATAAAGTCAAAAGATGACCTGACAATGTAAAGAAGTAAATATAAGTTAGCTAAAGAAAAGGCAGGAGGTAGGGCCAATTAAATGTATCCATTGCATGTTCTGGTCAGTGGGGCAGCTGAAATAAACACACAAAAAGTAATTTGACTCTAATGTGTTACTGTAGGAGCCTATAGTGATGCCAAGCTTTATGGTCGTCACACTGTTAAGATTTTTCATTATAATTTGTATCATTTACTACTATCATGAAGTCTTAATGCAGCCTGGTCACAGTTTCAGAAATGTGTGGTTGTTTATACGCCATGTAGTTTCACACAGGCCCCACCACATTATATTCTGTATCACTTGTAATAGTTTCCCTCTTGAACCCACGCAATCTCACAACAAATAGGGAAAAACATATATTGTTGGTTTTGTGTCATTCTGTGCATACTATGTGTTGTATTGTGAAGTTTCCAGGTTTTGTCTCCAATTGAGAGAGGAAAGGGAAGGGAAGGGAAGGGAACAACAACAGGAAAGAGTATATTGTGGGGGGGAATAACTCAAATTTCTTTGTAAAGATTTATCCAAATAACAGTGTAACTTATTATGTGCATTCAAGTGTATTCTTTGCTATCTTGGCATTCAGAAATATGTGTATCAATGTGGAAACTCATAAAAGTCTCAACAACAATTCCCAGGCTGTGTTACATTGACTTGGTGTTTAGACCAGCTAGCCCATAATTCCTGCATATTTCTTGGGGACTTAAACAGCAGTTGACGCGGCTCCCCCTCTATTTTTTGACTGGCCAAGACCAAAGTTAAAAGCACATATCCAGCTGTTTTGGGACAGAGGGTTAATTTTTACCTGCTAGGCATGTTTTGTCAAGAATTAGGCTACAGTAGCACGGTGCATGTCGCCATATTTTGCATATCTGGTCCATAAAACAAACAGAGAAATCCATGTTTGGCAGCTATATATTCATGAAAACACAGTGCTTTTGAATGCATCAATTCTGCCTCCACTGATGGCTTCCTCCAGGACTGTGACTCCTAAAGAAGGGATAAGAAACTGGACTGCCTGTGCACCCAGTATTTGCCCCGCTGTTACAAGGCTGTTTCCTGTGACTTTACAAGGAGTGACATTTTGTTTGAAGTTGGTGTTTTACTGCTGGTTCTTGCTCCGTGTGCTAATGAGTTCTTCCACGTCTCAACAGAACATGCATGAGGGGTGGAGTTAGGCTTACTTGCAGGTCAGTGACCAATGGAGAGGGCCCAGCATTAACAGCAGTATTTATGAACAGTTATGTTGTGCAGCAGATTAGACCAGGACTGGAGAGATGCAACAGCAGGTGAGCAGTTTTCTTTTTCACTCGAGTTGAAGTTTAAAAGTAGAGCCATTCAAATAAGGTTACCTTTGCTTTGCACTGTTTGTGTTGATTATTTATCAGTTAATTTGCCATTGTGCAGAAAATGCCCACAAAGAATAATTTAGAGGATTGGTAAATACATATCAGACAGCTACTATATTGAAAAAACATGGAAGATCCAGAAGTAACTTCACGGGAAACCAAAAACCCGTATCACTATTATAGGAATCTTATTGGCAGTGGACTTTTTTCTATTTAGATTTAGAGTGTGATAGTTTTCAGTGTCCCTGCATTTTTTCTAAGCTTTTTTATTTATTTCTTTTTGTGAATATCAGCAGTGATGTAAGACAGATTGCAAAATTGTTTTCTGTAATATCGCAATTGCAGATGTGGAGGATGATTTCCCAGGTCCCCCTGATGAGGGCGTTATGCTACCTGCTGTTAATGCCAGGTTTGTCTCAGTAAAATGCATTGAATTATTTTAGCTGAATTCCTCCTTTAGTTGCTGTGAAATGCTAGAGCCAAGTGTTACATCGTTTGGTGTGTGTGTGATATATTCTCTGCCTCCCTCCAGGTATGCTTGAAGCAACACCTCTGGTGAAAGTGGAGAATCCTGGAGGTATTTAATCTGCAGATTGTGATCTTATTGTGATACAAGTCTATTTGGTGATCAGACACAGACAGTGATACAAACAGAGTTAAATGTGTATTTAGGTTATTATTTAAGGAATGAATAGTACCTTTACTTAAGTTAAGGTGTATTGTAAGACATAAAAACAGAAAGTTAAATACAGCTATTTCTGCAAAGACACTGGCACTGTGTTTATACTGGCTTTTCTTCATACAAATAACTGTTATCCTGTAAATTGTTTAACCAAAGGGGTGGATTATATTCAAGTTTAATTATATAAGTATAATATATTTCATATAATATACTGTATATACATACAAATTGGAATTGAATTTCTCATAATTGCTAATTATGTGCTCTTTCTCAGGGAATCCAGTCAGCATTGGCTTTGCTGAAGCACATGATTTCTTGACTAATTCTCGACCTAAGAGGAACGTTGACCCAAAGTGGTACCGAGGCACTCCCGATTTTCAGTCCTACTACCGCTTCTACAACAGTATCGGTCACATTGAAGGAGTAAGTTGAGATAGATTCTTACACATGTGGTTCCACTTAGATTACACTATTCAACTCAAATCTTTTTTCCCCCTCTCTAATATGTTTCTGTTTCTCTATCAGCTCTATGAGATTGACAGGATCAGGATGTTGTATCAGCAGATGCGTCACTTGGAGGTGACCTATGGCCCAGATGCCTCCAGTTACCAAAGTGTCATGGGTGTACTGACTACCACTGCTCCACCAACCACTACCACTCAGCCTCCTCCACCTCCCACCACCCCTGCTCCTACACCAGACCCTCTGGAGAATGCTCAGAGGATCTATCTGTGTCACCCCAAAGACCCGCTGTGCAAACCTCAGATTGTCTACCTGCCGACGGGGGCTGTTCCTGTACTGTGCGACCCACGGCTCAACCCCGCCTGCAGGCCCAAAACAGAAGAGGAGATAAAAGCTGCTGCTCCTCCCCAACCACCCCCGGCTCCTCCTGCTCCCAAAAAGTCTGTGCCACCTCCTCCTCCTCCTCCTCCTGCTATCACTGTTAAAGGTATGGAGTATGACTGCGACCCATACTGGGACCCTGACTGCCTCATTGATCACCCTCCCCGCCCCATCCAGGAAACAATTGCACCAGAGGAGCCTGCTGAAGAGAAGGTGGTGATAGAGGAAGTAGCAAAAGCAGAGGAAAGTGTCCCTGCAGCACCAGCCACCCAGAAACCCCTCTACCCCTACTTTGATCCTTATGATTTCAAACGTGACCTTTTTGACCCCCTTAGTTATGCCGATCCAGCTCCAGAAGAATAAAGTGCTTAAGAAATGGTAGCCTTCTGTGCAGGGTGTGACTATAAAATTAAATCACGTGAACAAACAAAGGCAGGACTGTGTGCAACTCCACATTAAAAACAAAGAGGAAAAATCGAATCATGCACATCATCAAATGTTTACAGAACAGACATGGAAACAGTGTCTTCATGTTCATAGTTTACCCATATGACAAATCACACTATGGCTGTATGTTTGTATGGATGTTCATAAGAAATGTACAATAAACTTTTTATGGAATAAAAATAACACAAAAGAATAAAAATTGATTATGATAATAAATATGTGTGATTTCATTCACAATTCTGTGGGATTCATAGCAATGGCGGGGGTGAAATAAAAATAAAAAGGGTACCAGCTACATGGTGGGGTAGCAATGTGCAGAAAGAAATGATGCATTTATGGTGAAACAGTTCCAAACTGTTTTGTTATGTGACTCAGAAGTATAACTACTACACCTCTGTAATAAAAACACACAAGGGCCTATTAACTATTTAACCATTTAGAGACATGTAGAGGTCAATTAATTTGCATGTAAGGCAACTTACTGCATCACATTTTCTCCACTGGAAGGGCGCCCCAGTGAGCACTTTGTCACACTTTCATGCACATTGAGCCACTGTAGAGGGCACGTTATCATGTTTTATCTGTAGGAGTTGTCAACATTTTAAAGTTCTTCATAGTTAAATATAGGCTTGATCTCTAGCCTTCTCTGTTCGGACATTACCATGTTGACTGGAAGCCCATCCAGGGGCACCAGTGTTGTGTTGTATTGGTTTGAAAAGAAAAAAGCCTAATTCCCCACTACCATTAGATTTATTCAAGTCAAGTCAGTCAAGTCAGCTTTATTGTCAAATATG